TGAATAACGGTGACTGTCGGACGTTGGCGCGGACGGCGGTGGTGGTGGGGTCTAGCCAGGGCGACCTGACGTTTAGCTGAGGCAGATCTGCGGCGGAAAAGCTGCTTCCTTCCGAGGTAGGTTGTTCCACGCGCGAAAACCCTCCAGTTTCCTAGGTGCCTTTTGACCTTTCGGTAGCTGAGAACTGGGTCACCGCTGCCTTTGCCGGGTGACGCCGCTCCCGGTTTTACACCCCGAGAGAGGTGTTTTCAAAGGTAAAGATGTGGAGATGCAGCTCTTCAGGGCTTCCCCCCCCCCCCTTCCTTACCCTGGAAGCTTAATCAGCGTGCAGTAGAGATCGTATTTGCACTACCCAAATATGGCATAGTCAAAAAAGAGTGACACAGCAAAGTATATTATAGCTGGAAATTTGGACCCGCGTGGGTGGTGCTTGCACGTTTTTGGGCCTGTCTGAAGACTTGTGTTCTTCACGTTACCGCTTTTAGGCTGAAAGAGAAGGGGGGGGGAAAAAAAAAAAAAGACCTGGTCTGTGTGGGCTGGCAGTCTATATGTGTAAATACACGTATGTACGTAGGCATGTGTGTGTGTCTGTATGCATATATATGCCAGTGAAAGGAGTGGTACACCTGTCTGCCGTCTTGCAGCGAGAGCTCCTGTGAGCAAAAAAGGCGTTTTGCGCGCTTGTACAGGGGTGCGCCGTCCTATTGCCCTGTAGGGGCCGCGGTCCTCTGCCTGCGTAGTATTTCGGCAGACTCATAGGCTTGCGCCGTGCCCGCCTTGTGTAGGAGAAGGTGAAAAACGCGTGAGCCGTGGAGCTACGCGTAGTACGTGGTACGTATATAATAATATAGGTAGGCCTCTTGCACAGCAGCAAGGAGAGAAATCGACTAGGAGAAGGTAAGCACGGAGCTACGGACGTGCAGAGAGACTTGGCCAGCGGTGGAGTGTCTGCAGCTACTGCTCCAGCCCTGTTTGGTGAAAATGATTGAAGTTCAAGTTGCCACTTAGAGGGGACAAACAGCTCTTGATGTTAGATAATAAACAGTAGTAACTTTGGCAGTGCTATACCTGGCTCGAAGCCGATGGGCATGATGAAATGTTAAATCTCAACTTATTTGCTCAAGATGGGTATCTGCTGTTTGAAACGTGTTGCCAAACAATATGGCAGCGCAAATCCGTGCTTCCAAAACAAATATCCTTCCTGAGAGCCGAGCGTGGGGTTCGGACGCTCAGGATTAAGGCCTTTACTTGTTATTCACTACGGTTTGACTTCGCTTTTAGTGCTCGTGTTTTCCCCGAGTCTTGCCCTCTGATAACGCTGAAACACATGCTCACAATTGCATGACTAATTCGTATAATTAGTCATACGCATCCACGGTAGATTTATTGGAATAGTATCACTGTCATTCTCACGTTGTGAAAGTCTGGGTTTGGGAAGATGTGCCCTGCGCTGATTTCCTTTGGTCTCTTGGCATGATTACGGGGTGGGTTGCTTACAAATGTTTGAAGCCTTGAAGATTATTAGACTTGCTTAATTATAGAAGCATATTTTCGATGAACAGATCTGCTGGAGATCAGTACCTTGTTGCTTGCTAATCTGAGAGGGTTAATTTGCATGAGCCTTTGCAGGGGTTGTCAGAAATGAAGGTTTGTGAGTGCTACTACTAAAAATACCCTGTCTCCTGCATAAATAGTTTGCCCGTTGAAAAACAGTATATTTTGTATAAGGAAACTATTTATATGACAAGTTCTTCTTGTTTCGCTTGGTTGACGGTGTTTCTTTGAAGCGTGGTTCTTATCTCTTTGATCAAAGCGGTGGAATGAAAAAAATACTTTTTAAAGTTAGATTAAAATCCTGTCTTTAAAGGAAGAAGCAAGGGAGGCTTGGAGTAAGAGGAACCGAGTATTGGAACCGAGTATTCCTAATATTGGAACCGAGTATTCCTGAAAGGGCCGTACGCAGTCTGCGATGTACAGCAGCATGTGGCTACCACATCTACGTACGAGCTTTAATTCCTGGCAGATGCAAACAAGCAGGTTTTTTTTGGTGGTTATGTGTTATTTGTATCGCTGCAGCACCTGGGAATCCTAGTCACGGACCAGGTTTCGGTGGGGTGGGAGCGATGCGAAAAAAGAACCAACGCCGTCTCTGCTTGCAAACAAACTTTCAGCCTAAACATAAGGCAAGAGATAGAGGAGCAGAGGAAGCAACGGGACGGTGCTGGGCAGCAGCTCAGCAGCTTGGCTATTCGGGGCTTTTTTAATAGGTATTGCAGCAAAAGTGCACTTTAAGGTCTGCTAGGAGGCTAACTGTGGCACGAGCCGTAGATCAGGCGGGCAGCCTGCCAAAAGATGGGCAAGAGGAGGTGGCTGCCTGCTGCTGTGCCGGAGCCCGCTGCTCCCCTCCCCGCTGCTGCAGCCGCTTGAGCTAATCCAGCTCGCCTGGGCTGGGGAGGACTCGCAGGAGTCGCTCTGCTGGCAGGTCTGAGGTGTAGCCGCGTACCGCAGAGGCCCGTGGCACGCGTCTGAGAACGGCCGAGGAGTTTTAGCCTCTTCCCCTGGCGTAGCAGGATCCTGGAGTAGGTCTTTTGCCTGTAGCTGGAATACAAAATATTAAGGCTCGCTTGCAGACTGATTCAACGTTTTGCGTGTATAGCATTGCCCGTGGGAGTCAGGCTGTTTGGGAACAGGTTTAAACCGCTGCAGCGCTAGCTGCGTGTAAAGCCGACCATTTAAAACGCTACAGCTTTGGTGTGGGACAAACTTTGAGGTGCTTTAAGGCCTCCGAGGCCTGGTCTAAATATACAGGATGTGTCAGCACCACGCAGTTTACCTGAGCTTCTGTCATTTCCGAAGGAAGAAACTGCTGAACTGGTTTGGAGATGCTTTAAGCCTGAACTAATTTACCTGGTTGGGAATGTAGGTTAGAAACTAGGCTTCGCTTGGCTCTGGGCTAGAGCCAATATGCGCTGCAGGGAAAAGGCAGGCTAAATTGAGTGTTGCGCCGATAATCCTCCAATGCTTTTCCTGCCGTGTCCCCTGCAAGACAGACAGGTTCTCGTGCCGTTGACCCAATTGACTGGGAGGGAATTGTAAACGCGCAAAGAACGAGGGGGATTTTCCCTCAGAGGCCCTTGG